TGGATGGCACTGGGCAGGCTCCCTGCAAGGCCTTGGCAGGGGTGACACACACATGGATGGCACTGGGCAGGCTCCCTGGCACCCTGATGTGGGCCATGGGTGGATGGAGCAAGAGAACCTTGCGGTGCTTTTCTAGTATGAGGTGGATGGATAAGACAAAATTATTAAAATCTGTATCCCTGTTTGTTGTCCTTAAACACAGTATCTGAGAGCCTACATCACAGTTACATTTATATTCAGTTCTAAAATGGCTTAAAAGGACTCTTGCCATACACACAGGTCTAGTTCCATTTCTGTTGAGCATCCACCCTCAAGTTTGCTGTTCCATAAAAGTGTACTTTGTGCCATCCCTTAGAAAGGTTGGGGAACTGGGAATGTTCCACCATGTGTTCCATTCATACAGTACGTCTGTGAGACCATGGGCAATTTTATTTTTTTAATGCCCATGAGATTCATATAGTATTAAATATCCAGGTAACTGTCATCTTCCATTATGGAGGCTTTACTTGGTAGGTCCTGGAAGAGCCTTGTGTTTACACAGGATTCAGCCCTTTATTGCTGTCTTTGCTGGACAGTAAAAAGCTGTGTATTCTTCACAGCAAGGCCCCTAAAGTGGTGGTTGTACTCTCCATTCTGTCCTCTTATCTGAAGAGGATAAGGACATTCTGTGTTTACAGAGGCATCCTGTGATGCAGCCATTTCATAAACTGAACTGGAATTCATAAGTTTTTGCATAGGCAGCATCCCAAGGTAGCCATGCCAGACCCAGTTAGTAGTGTAGGATTACCTAATGGTGTGTTTTATCTGTCCACGTTACTGTGATTGTCTAATTTATTGGATAACATAAAACATAATTTAATACTCATGTACAAAATGGCAGTCATGTGAATTGACAAGAAACCTGTAAGCTCTGAATTAATTCATGACTTAGTGCAAGGCAAGTTTCACTGGTGCTTCTGAAGATGGAACAGAGCTATTGCCTTCACAAAATGCACTTCTGATGTTCTTGTCATACACTCTCTTGTGAGACAATGCAGATTGCAGATGTGTGTAGGAAAGGAAATTCAAAACCAGCACTAATGGGGAAGTTTTTAGGAGGTATTTAAGCTTTAAAGCAGTAAATATATTATCATTTAAATATATATTTTATGATACTACCTTTGTACTGTAAGTTAAATTTTATATTTGTATTACTTTGCTTAAAAAAAAGGAGTGTGTCCTTCAATATTGGTTGTATAAATATAAATATTAATGTACCGCATAACTGTTCTCTCTACAGTTCTTGACATTGTCTTCTAGCTTGATTTGAATCCTTACTCGTGCTTGTTACGCTCTGGATAAGGACCAATCCGTAGTATCAATATTTTTTCCTTTGTCTTTATCCTTCCTGCTGATGTTTTTTCCCCCATTTCTACATATTTGAGTGTCAAAGTAATGATGTGGTAAGTACAAATTGCCAGCTGAAAAATTTATATCTAGAAAGATAGAAGGGTTATAATTTACTTCTGAGCTTGATTTAGCATGAGCATCATAAGGCATCGATGTAAAAGAAGTTAGTTTAGTTATTGGGAATTGTTTATCATTGGAGAATCCTCTCATTATGGAAGATGTCACAGTGGCTTAATATGATTTCAACAATAAAGTAGCAGCTTTAATAATTATTATTCATTTTGTAAATATTTAATTTGTAAGTAAGGTTTTGTGTTTTTCATATTTTTATAGCACTTTCTGACTCAGTATTTTATTGTTGCTCTTGCTTATAGGAGAGCATTACAGTGCCTTTGAATTGTAGGAATCAGTAGATGGTAGGAGAACTCTCAGCAGCTCAGTGTAGGTTTGTAGGGTAAATTTGCAGCCTGCTGAGCTGTGTCAGCAGTGTGTGAGTGCCTGAGTGGTGGGTGCTAAAGCAGTGTCCTTGTTGTGAAAAACGTCAATCACTTGTTTTTAAAATTTTTAAAAGCTTAATAGTAATAAAATGGTTAAAAAGGCTATTAACACAATTAGAGTAATAATAATTTGGACAAATTGAATTAGGACAATATGAGACAATAAAAACAAAGAGTTACGGATGTCTGGGTGCCTTTTTCTGGGCATCACGAGCCCAAAAAAGGACCCCTGCTAACAGAGGATTAACCCTTAAAAGCCTGTTGCATAGTCATACACCTCATACATGATGCATAAATTCCATTCAAATACAGGATTCTGTCTGGTCAGCGTCAGCTTCTTTCTCTGAATCCTAACAGCGCCTTCGAGGTGGGAAGAAGTTTGTTTCTTCTGATAAGAAGGCAATAAATTCTTTTCTCTGAAAGATTTAGGTGTCCTCTGGCTGCTATCTCACTGCAAGCCCTTTCTGTTAAACAAAGCATCTTACACAGCATAGTTTCTGTTTTAACAATTTTTATAGCCTGTCAGGATCCGTCCTAGTGAACAGATGACCTGATGGTTCGTAGGAATGATCTCAGAGTGCAAAAACCAACACGGTACAAGGGGGTTCGCAGTAATGATCAAATCAAAGGCAGTTTTATTGAAATAACCAGAGCAAAAATGTGATAGAGGGATTAAGGGAGAGAAAAAGATAGAGAAAGAGAGAGAGAGAGAGGGAGGGGATATAGCTACCAATGCAGAGACGAAGTCCTTTGGTTCAGTCCAGTCGAGGATCCGCCTGCTATGCTGGGGAGATCTCAAAGGCTCTGGCTAAGGCTCTGGCTCAGAACAGGTAGTCCATGTTCTCAGCAGTAAGCGAGAGCCATTGTGTTCTTGGTCCAGTCGTCACAACCTGCAGGCAAACATCTCGCTTCGGTCAGCTTGCCTCCCCCACACACCTCCCCCGGGCTGGGGGTGTCAGTCCCAGTCCTTGGAAGGAGCAGAGGGACCTTTTAGGAGTTTCATGTCTCAGTCCTTGATGGACAGGTTCCTTACATCTCTGTCTGTCTGTCACAGTGGTTGTAGAACATGTGAGGGTCTTCTCTGGGAGACCACCTGGAACTCAGGAGAAGTCCAGCCAGGCCGAGAGGTGGGACAGCTTCCAGAGCTGCTATTGTTGCAAACGGGGCACGGTGCCCTCTTCTTAGCATACAGCAAACACTCCTGTGAAAACAATAGCTTAACACTGAGCTTTCAGGTCTCAGGGCCCGTGGTGTGTGACTTTTCTCCTTCAGAGCCAGATATTCTAGACAGGGCGGATTTTCTCTTCAGTGGGCCTCAAATGACGATCGTGAGGCAGATGAGGGAAAATTCAGACTCTCACAAAACTATATTTCACACTGTACTTAAGAGAATTAATACAGCATTACTTTCTAACACAGCACATATAATATTCATCTGAATATTTGCAAAAAGCCAATCATAACATACCTTCATTTTTCCTACTTGTGCTTGCAGAGAGCCACATCCTGGAGGACGTGAACCGCTGCATCGTGGCGCTGCGGGAGCAGGATGCCGAGGGCCTGGACCGCGCCGCCGGTGCCATCCGCGGCCGCGCCGCACGGGTCGCGCACGTCGTGGCCGGGGAGATGGACAACTACGAGCCCGGAGCCTACACCCAGGGGGTGCTGGGGCACGTGCAGCAGCTCTCCGGGGCTGGTAAGGCCGAGCACGGGGCTTTCATTGCCTGTCACCTTTCCTTGGTGCGCTGCCTTCAGCGGGAATCCCGTGGGCACTGCTGTAACACACGGGGATGCACCGATGGTTCCCTCCGAGGCGGCTCCTTTCAGCCAGCTGTTGAGTTAGGACGAGACCATGCGGTTCAAACTGATTTTTAATGTTTTATTTGAATTACATGGTCTCTGTAAGCTTTCTTGAGTTATGGTATTCTCCTGTTACTGGCGTCCTTAATGCATGTAGCATTGTTTGGATACTTGGAACTAATGAGGTAGCAGCTTCCCACCTCATTGCACCTCACCATGCCTGCTCTAAGCAGATGAAAGGCAAACTCGAAAAAGGACGTGTGTCACAGACATTTTTTGTGAAAAATCTTTTCTTAGGATTTTTCTCCCTTCTGAGAAGCTGTGGCCTCAGCAACAAAATATAAACAATGGTTATCTGCTGCTGTGGAATGCAACAGGTGGATCCGTGATTGTCTTGGGTGAATGTTTGGATTTACTGACCACTCACGGCAGAGCTGGGTCTCTCTCTGTGCTGAGATACAGACCTTTGTTATTCATTCTTTTTCTATTCTTAGCTTAGCTAGCCTTCTGAGAACTTTATTTCTTTTATTATAGTCATAATATAATAAATATATATCATAAAATAATAAATCAAGCCTTCTGAACATGAGGTCAACATTCTCACCTCTCTTCATCCTGCAACACTTGTGACCACTGTGACAGACGTGCATGATTTGTGTGTGCTCCCACTTTAAAGACTGTTAAGCAGTAATCAGATGTCCCAAAAAGTCTTCTGTTTTACAAAACAAATTTGAAATTTTCTAAAATGTTTAGCAGTCTCCTTTACATTTCCATAATATTAAAGCAGAGGGCATCCTATATTGGAAAATTCCTGTACTGGCCACAGGGGGTGTAACTGCGCTGTTCTATAAATGATTCCTGTGTTTTCCATAAATGAATCTCTGGCTTTTCATAATGTGTACTTAATTAAAAAAAAAAATAAAATCTATGGTTTTCCCAGTACTTCCATGTTTTAAATGGTTGCAAGTCTCATAGTGGGGAGCTAAACTGCTCCTGAGAGATTTTCTGGCAAGTCTGCACATCCCTGGAATATAGGATTTGGCTTCCTGAACTCAGAGATCTAATTCCTTGCTCTTTCAATCTAAACAAATGTCGCGTACCTTACATTTAACTGACATTTTACCACAAGAAAAGGCAGGAATTTTGTTTGAGCTCTTTCTTAGTAAGTTCAAGTATGTCCAGGGCAGAACTGCCCTCATGTGAACAGGAGTAAACTGACATTGCAGTGAAGTGGCAAAAGAGAGCAATGGGGAGAGTTTGAAATAGGCTTGCCTGGTTTTATCTTTTTTTCTGATGTTTTTATAGGAAAATTGAAAAATATTCAACATTGATCTCCTTTCTTCATGATTTCTAGAAGTACTGTGGCGAATACTGAGAGGGAAGCAGCATAGAAAAGCATAGTTTAGATTTTCATGTAAAAGCTGAGCCTGTTTTTCTTGAAACTAGTACTGTTTAAAGATGTTGGGAGTTGACATTGATTTCTGTTCTGTTGCCTTGCTTTGACAGTAATATATATAATATACCTGAAGTTGTCCATCTGCAGAAGACAGGGAGGCATAAAACTGGTTGTGGTTGGAATGTTTGCTTGTTTCAAGGGACATCAAGCATGGTCACAATCTCAAATGACTTTGCAGTACTTCAGAGAATTCACTGTCTTTATATTGTTCAATAGGAGGGCGAAAAAGACTCACACACTTTTCATTTTCACCTGTATTTATGTGATCTGCAGTGAACACATGTTGAACTGAGAGGGCTGCTTGGTTTTGTTTTATTTAACTTACAGGTAAAATGCAGGTAGGTTGCAGCCCACAGGTGTAACCTAAACCATTCTATCCCAGCTGGGTCTTTCAGCTGATTGCAAGGGGAAAGTTCACCAGGAGAGAACTCTGTATTTATGCTGCCATAAACTTCCACAATAACCACAGGCAGTGTAGGGTGTCCTTTATGCCTAAGGAAGAGGTAAAGTGTTACCCATGAGAAATTACTGCAAGGCAGAGTATAGAATTAGTGAGACAAAGAGCATACATGGAAATTGCAGAGAACTAAAAATAAAAATGGAAGAGTGAATGGGAGAAGAAATAGGAAAGATGCAAATTGGAGGTAACAGAAGGGAGAAAATGTGCATAAAGAGGAGCAGATATATTTACTGTTTGTTTTGACAAAGATCAAGGTTAAATTGTAGCATATATGATAAGGTAATGTATAAGAAAAGAAAGATATTGAATTCTCTGCATTGCAGTATGCGAGGAAAGAGCAAAGATCACTGTATGTCTCTTATTGCATTTTGATAGGGTTTATGTACTATTGTATCAAAGGAAAATGAAACTTTTAGGAACTCTGTTTATAAAATCCTAAGGTATTTCTTCTTCAGAACTGAAAGGGTGATCTTGTTCTGTTCTTTTAAATACCAGTCTCCTCTGTTATTTTATTGTCTGCCAGAGTCTGCAGCAGTTAAATTTAAGTCAACAATTTATATTATGGCATATATCTGTTGGTAGAGTAAAAGGTTTGTATTGTAAATTTGGTCTGCAGTTCTGCTTTAATGCTGAACTCTAATGATATACATTTAAGTGTAAAAACATAAATTCTTTAGTTACTTCAATGTCTACAGATCTTGTAAGAAAAACAAGGAAAAGGGTGGAGACAAAGATGACAAGTATTTTAACTGCAGTGGGCCAAAGACATTTAGCTTTTAGACTTGTTTGGAGTCTTGGGTTTGTGTTCAGTGATTTTCTTTAAAACCTTCACAGCCTTCAATTACATTTTGGCAGCGTATTTTAACATATTATGTGCCAGTATGAATGAATTTATTTAGTTACACTAATATAACACCAGGATTGGTGTTGTGATCACCTTCCAGTCTCCCCTTTCCCTTCATAGCCCTTTCAGTGTGGGTGCTTCTACAGCCCTGTATTAATACTGACCTCCTACACCTGAACCTTTCTTGTACAGTAATTTATTAATTGATTCTCCAGGGGGATTAAATCTACTGCATTGCTTTTCTCTGGGGAAAGGTAATTTACCTTAGCCATAAAAAGACAGTGCTGTTTTCATGATGAAAGCCTCCTTCCATCTTGGGCTTTTTATGCAGCTTTTCCATTTCTTGCAAGCCTGTGTGCACCAAGCTAATGGCTTGTATTTTCCTGGCTGCTTCACCTGCCTTTTTTAATTCCAGTTTACAGGTTTGTCACAGCAGCTTATGTGAAATGCCTGGCAGTTTCCTTTGTCCCCTGCCTCGAGTGTTCTGCAGTAGGGATTGTCTGTTCTTCTTTGGAAATGTGGCTCTCTTTCACCCAGAAGGCACCCTCCAGAGAGGGAATGCAAGAGGGGTTGTCTGTATTCTCCTGCCCACTCTGACATTTAGTGCTTATTTTGTCATCTTCTGGTAAAGCCACCTGAGCCAGCGTGGGGAGACAGGAGCACTTGAGAGACTTCACTGGCTTTTCCTGAGGGGTTTCTTCAGATGGGATGAATGGGCAGTTGGAGGTCCTTGTCTCTTGTTGTAGAACAAAAGATACCAATATGACCGACTTTATTCTAAATTATTTATTTAGGGGTGGCTAAAATGAGGTGAATGGACCTTACTCATTCTGTGGGGCACACAAAAATCATAAGTTTTTATTAATTAAAAAATATTTAGAATTTTATTAATTCAGAAAGTTTTTAATGAAAAAGTATTTTTCACTAGTTGTTCATCACTGTCAGAATAAGATCTACAGAGGATACTTGCTGTTCAAGTCTGTTTAGTGTTCAGTGATTTTCACTCTTGCTTATGAAACCCAAAGACTGCTGAAGAAGAGGATTGACTCCTGTCACTTCAAAATAGATAAAGAAAGAAAATCCCCAAGCACTTGAAGAATGAGAGAGGCCTGAGCATGCAAGCTTATAGAATTGGTGAACTTGTGAAATTGGTGCTCAACCCAGACAGGGAACATTTTATCAGCAACTATTCAGCAGAATTATTGTAAGAGCTAAAAGGAACAAAAAATGGGCCAAGAAAAACACTGAGGGTATTTGCATGACTTAGCCTGAAATGTGCTTTGTGATGAGTTCCATGGTGATTGTAAGGTAATAACTTAAGAAATAGCCCTTGATTCTTGTGGTTTTTACTCTGCTACAGAGTCAATAACTTCCATTTGGTGGAGAATGCAGTGAGTCTTTTTTTTTTTTGGTAGGGCTCTGTTTGAATCCATCTTTAGAAACTGGATTTTACTTCTGATGTAAGAATGTTCTGAAAAATAGGGGGAAAGACCAACATTTTTTTGGGTTCCAGGTAATCAAAAAATGACCCTGAACACTGAAATTTCTTTTTGCCAATCTTTTCTTCCTTTCCTCTAGCTCAGAAATATTTTTGCTTCGCTGTTAATAACAGTGTAATGCCCATGTTGATTATAGGCACTGTGTGGGCATTAAGGTGCCTTTAACTACACATCTGCTTCTTTGAGATGCTGTTGCACTTAGTGATCATTTAAAGCACTGAGAAGAAGCTGCTCTCAGTGCCCAGCACAGATGCCCTGTTCAGGGCAGTCCTTGAACACACACACAGTCTCTCCAAGAACCTTCCTCCTCAGGAGAAATCTTAGTTACAGCAGCCTTGAAAATGCAGCATTGTTACGAAATAAATACATGTTTCTGAAGGTAAGAAGTTTGGTTTTGTGGTGTGCAGTTGAGTTTTTGATGCTTTTTTGGTTGTTAGGTCATTTTCCTGGATTAGGATTGTAAATGCCCTTCTGCTGCCTGTCGTGGATGTGGCACACGTGGGCTTGCTCCATCTGAGCTCCATGGGGAGTGGCAGGGAGGTAATCATTGCTCCCCTGGTAATGAATTTGCCACTTTGGCCGAGCCTGCTTTACCTGCAGCCTGGTTTTGGAGCAGAGGACACTTGGGGGAACCTTC